GAGTGTGGGTGTTGGTTCAGCCCATGAATTAATGAAGGGTTAGAGTAGGAAACATTCAGCTAGTGATGACTGAGAATCGAATTTAGATGGAGTATGGATGACAGCAAGGGAGTAATTTGTGCATTTCAAACCATTTGCCTTGCAGATTTAGCTCTTTATATATAAATGCTCAAAGGAAAAAAAAGGATACCTCTCCTCACAGTTTGGAATACTCTCTGCTCTTAGTTCATGGGATGTCCTCCTTTCTCTCTCTTCATCTTGATTCCTAACAGTAAGACTGCAAGGTAGCAAACAAATAACTCAATCAAATTTAGATAAGGAAGAGCTTGAAACTACATCAAATTGTTATTTAATATTTTACACATAATTGGTTTGTTTACCTTACCTAAAAGAGATTAAAAATTACCTGTAGTCTTTTATTTTATGATTCTCTTGTAAATCCAGCAACATTAACAAAGCTATTCTAGTTGCCTGGAGAATCTGGTTATCCAGTATAGTTTCTCAGTGCATACTAGAAGGAGTTTTGTGTGTGCTTTAAAACATTAGATGCAATCCACAAATGCTGACTAGTCTAACATTGCAGCGTAGTTTTCTGAGTGGAGCTACTTGTAAGAATATATGTCTTGACATAGTGAGGCCAGCATTGTAATAAGCACTAAATGCAGTGCTTGCAGGATTAATATGAGGCATAATTACAGGCCAAAGTCTCCTCACCTATGTTCTTTAAGAGCTCTCTTGAACTCTTCACTGAAGCAGGTGTCAAGTCCTGTTCCTGGTCATATTCCAATGTAGTGGTAATTTTCTAACTAACTTACATTCCCTGGTGCTTTAAGTTAAAGAAGCAATCCTTTGTTTCTAGACCTAAAACTTCTAAAGCTTGTGTATTTTCTTTGCACAAAATGACTGCTATATTCTGTCTTATGGGGTCAGAAGTAAACTGATCATTCTGTAAAGCATTTTCGGATTTTTCAAGAGAAAAAGGCACCAAGTATATTTAAGGCATCCCTAGTGTAACCAGACTGTCCGGGGAGTTTGATAGAATTTCTAGGTTAAAAATTGAAAATCGATGTCTTGCTTTATCTTTAGCTTACCTATTTGATTTGCTCACTTCCTTTTGAACTTCTGGCGCATATCTTAGTTCCAGCTTCACTATCTGAATTAGTTCTAACCTTTTCCTTTCTAAAGCATTTGTCTCTAATCTGTGGAGATCTCCTTGCAGGTCTGTAGAATTTAAAAATGTAAAGGATCAGACAATGCAGTTGAAGGTTGGCAAGGAGGAGAGATGCTTTGCCTCCTTCAAAGTATCCACATAGTGCAAAGTTGGAGAACCTTGCAACGAAATCACTTACGGTGGTCACATCAGCCATTACAGTTCATTTTATGTGTGCCTTCAAATCACTGAGCTATCTTAATTCACTTTCTGTATAAAGGAAGAAGTAGCATAATTAGTAAAGAACTATAATATAACCTTATCCACTGGGTCTCAAGATGATTGAAAGAAGTAGGGCTGATGGGAAGATACAGGGCATAATAGTGACCGCTGAGCCTGACATTTTATTGTTGAAACGTGTTTTCCACAAATATCAAGAATATACCTCAGAGTGACATTTTAGACTGAAGGAGAAAGAAAAATGAATGTCTCCATAGGATAGTATTCTGCCTCCTTTATAATAGACAATATTTACTGCACCTCTCAAAATGGTAGCCACTCCTGTAGATCAAAAGACTCCTTAAAAATGTAGATGTGCAGAGCAGAGAGAACAAACTACTTTCGTAGCTCCATCTATCTCAGACTTCAAAAAGCTGACAAGTATGTGACTTAAGTTGTAACTCCAGCACAGGATCTGGGCATCCAGGCCTTAGGACTTGTTTCTGGTCCCATACTGGTTCATTCTAATGTTAGTATTGAAAAGGGCATGAATTGTGGAAGCTCTATTTCTCAGCCACATGACTCATGTGGACTGTTATTTTTGTCTCTATTCATAATTTTTCAGTGGAAAGCACTCAAGCTATTTTGAGGAAACATTCTGTGAATAGGGATTATAAATAGAACATTTAATTGTAGTTTGTTTCGCATTCCTTGCTACTATAAAACAGTTGTTCTCAGAAAATTAGAAGTGATTTTAAGGCAGAGAAAAGCTTCTCTGCTTGTAGTCAGCACCCAGTTCCCAGGCTATTCTTAAATGCGAATAGGAATTTTAAGTGCCATCAAAATTGAGTAATTTCAACACCCCATTGAGTAAATAACTTTCTTTGTACACTTTAACACACATGCTTTTTCTGTGCCCAACAGAGAGAGTATCAGATAAAAGAACAGAGGAGCATTTATCAGCCATTCAAAAGAAATAGTGGGAAGTGAAGTTTATATTAATCCATTGTCAGGGTACATAAAGTGCTTTTGTTTCCTTTTCTTAGGAAATCTATAGCTATGGACAGATACGCAGACAATAAACAGACAGACAGTGGCACCAGGTTTGTATGGTTTTTGGTGATGCCAACAATGGATCCAAGTCCATCCCTCCACATATCTACCACGTAAGCTGTTATACTTGAACCTCTTTAATCTGCCAAACCTGTGAAACAGTATGCCAGAGTAAAGATTTTGCCATGTCAGGGAAGGTTGTGTGGAATTTGGGCATGAGGGGTGGAGATGGGGTGTTTACCTGCCACCCCACTCCCATGGGCACATGTGGCTTTGTACTCCCTGCTGTTCCCAGACTCTGCTCCTGCCTCCATGGGAGCCATGGGAAATAGCCTCAGGGGAAGCAGTTTATGCACTACCATTCCCCCAGCTGGAAGAAGAGGAAGTGGCACTGCACAGAGCCACTTCCTCATCTGTACTACAGGTATTCCTGAGTTAGGGACATCCAGAGCACAGAGGGTCAACTGTAACAAACAAACAAAAATGGACTGGAAACAGTAAGCATTTAACTGTTTTCCTGTATTGCACTATATATGGGGTGTGTCGAGATGAGGACTCTGAGGTGAGTTTGAGGGGTGGGCTGTACGGGTGAGTAAGGGCTCTGGCTGGGCATGCAAGCTATGGGCTGGAGGGTGAGGAGTTCAAGGTGCAGGCAGACTGCCCTCGGGCTAGGGCCAGAGGTGGCCTCCCCTCCTCCACCCCAGCCCTCTCCCTGCCAGCAGCAAGTGAACTCTGGGAGAGGCACCTCCTTCTCGCTGCTGGCCAGGCCTGCTACACCGATAGGGGTGGGGAGAAGTCTGCAGTTGCCCAGGGGCCTGGCCGCTACCGTGGTAGCTCTGCCTACTCTGGGGAAAAGTGTCTTGATTCAAAGAAGCTTTTAATATGTCCCATATGGGTTCCAGCACAACTGAGGCAGTGGAGTAGCAAATCAAAAGGATCTTTAAATCAAAAGACAGTTCAGCTACTCCTCAGAGTAGGTTGGGCTAGCGTGGCTGCCCTGCGGCTCCTCCCAGCAGGTGCAGAGGATGCTTCGGGCTTCTCCAGGTGGGGGGTCTTGTGGCCCTGGCCAAGGGAGGATGGTGGAGCGTGGCAGCCAGCCCCTGCCCAGAATGCAGGGATGCTCTGCGGAGGAGTCGGGGAAAGGGTTGGAATAAAAAATGGGTGGAATCTGGGCCCTCATGTTCTGAATATTGGTGGAGCAAGAGTACCATGGGTCAATGTTATTGCCTGTGGGTTAAACTCATCCTTGAGTCATTGGTCTGAGCAGTATTACACAGCTGTCAATACACTGGGACTTTGAGGCTTGTTTACTCAATAGTGTGTGGAAATTATTTGAGTGTTTTCTTAGGACTATACCCAACTGTTGCTCAGTCAGTCCTTCCTTATTAAGTATAAAAAGTGTTAAACTCTTTCCATATACTTGGAAAACTATTGACATACTTGTTGGACTTTTTGCTCATTGCAGAGGGATTAACTGGATAGCCAATATGCTTATGTTTTGAAGTCAGGTGCAGTGCAAGCACACAAAAAAATCTTTATAGAACAGGGGTTCTCAAACTTCATTGAACTGTGACCTCCTTCTAACAACAAAAATTATGACATGTCCCCAACACAGGGAACCAAAAACTGAGCCTGCGTGAGCCCATACAACCTTGTAGGGAGCCAAAGTCCAAGGGCTTGATTCTCAGGCAGGGGTCTGTAACCTGAGCCTCCACCACCAAGGGCTGAAGTGCCCTGGGCCTAGTAAGTCTGTCAGCCCTGGCAACCCCCATTAAAATGGGGTTGATACACTTTGCGGTCCTGGCCTACAATTTGAAAACTGCTGTTACAGAATGTTTTCTCAGTCTGACACATGAAACATTAACAGCACAATTCCCATTTAGGTTAATTGGAGTTGCTCAGTTGATGCTTTATATATGCCCCAAAGTCCTTTTGTAGTATGAAGTAAACGGGTGTGAAAGAAAATTACTTCTATTATATTCAGCCATGTTTAGGTGTATGTGATGAGGTGGTGTTGTCCTGACCCCCTCAGTTTCTTCTTACTGCCAATGGCTGGAATCATAGTTCTGTGTGGTTTTCACTTCATAATCCCTCTATTCTTGGTGGCTCTTCTAGTTGTGTATTACTTAAAAAGAAAGAGTACTGCTCTCTCCAGGTGAGGGAGCCAGCTGCCCTTAGTGGATGAGTTCAGGAATCTAGGACTCATGCTCAAGAGTGATGGCGAGCAGGAGAGTGAGATCACTTGGTGGATTGGTGCTGCAGCAGCAATGCGAGCAGCTGTAATACTGAGGCAGGAGTTGGAGTGGATCCCTGTGGAGTGTCCTGAGGAATAGGTTGCTGCTTCAAGTCAAATAGGGATTTGTCTCCATTCTCCAGAAAGATCGCAATCAGCATGGATCAAATGCTGGTGCCTTTGATAGAGCAGGTCCTGTCAACTGGTTCTGGGCAAGGAGGTCAGATATATCATATTGTTGACTCTGGTTTCAGCCGTAGGGAATCCATTGATTCCAGGACCAACAAGGACAATATCAGCGCAGGGATTCTGCTCTGGCAGAAGACAACAGACCTCTGCCTTTTGGTCCCAACCTCACCCTTGGTCCAGGACTTTGCCAGGACTGCATCCTTTCTAGCCCCATTGGTTAGGCAGGCTGCTGACCCTGTGGATCGGTCTGCAACATACCCCATGTTTCCTTTTCACAGTCAGTGGAAGTGGGACCCTGGCACCAGGACCATCTTCAGCACCCCGTGAATGGTAATGGTGTCCAGTCCATCTGGTCAGGAAAGTTGGTAAGACTCATAGGGAAAAATGAAAGATTCAGGGTGTAAGAGGGAGATCCAGGCTGGTAAAGAGGGTT